AGTCCCTTGCCCCAGTTCAGAAATAGGTTGGTAACACAAAAGATGCTGCTCCTTGGATATTTTATATTTGTATTTAATCTTTTCAACTATCTCAAAAGAAAAGGATATGCGCTCTACGGGATGATATCGTTTTGGGATGCAATATGCAGTAGAACTATATTGCCAAGCTTATTTCACACTTCTTGCTACCTTTTCAACAGATGGCTCAGAAATCTGTTGCCAAAGAATTGCCAGGGTGATCAGATATGTATCATGCACTTACCCGCGAAGGCAACTTGGCTTGAGACCATAAATACATATACCCTGTTACCTCACGAACATTAGACTTTCATATCCAACACACACCGGATACAGTCACCACTTTTCATATGCTGGAATGCCGTATTGATGGTCCCCAGTGTTTCACGATGAGTTATGTATTCATCAACCCTCAAGTAGCCAGCGACGTAGTCATCGACAAGACTGGGTAGCTGAGACCGACCCTTGATACCACCGAATGCGCAACCCCTCCACACTCGCCCGGTCACAAGTTGAAATGCTGTATAATGTTAACAATGTGATTATCCATATAGCCAACATAGGGAGCAAACTTACGCCTGGTCGAGATTTCTTGACCGGCTGCAGCTACTCCAATAATAATACTCTCGCCCCATCCCTTATGACAGGATTCTAGAGCAGCACGCATCACACCGACATTTCCGGTACAGTCGAAAGTATAATCACATCCCCCATCAGTCATCTCGATCAGTTGTTCCTGAATGGTCTTTCCCTCGAGCTTGGTAGGATTCACAAAATCTGTAGCACCAAACTTGCGCGCCCACTGTTCCTTATCATCATTGACATCAACCACGATAATCTTACCAGCTTTATTTTTCACTGCACCTTCAATCACAGACAAACCGATACACCCAGCACCAAAAACGGCAATATTAGATCCTTGCTCTACTTTGGCAGTAATCGTTGCAGCACCATATCCGGTCGTTATCCCACAGCCCAACAGACACGCACGATCAGTGGGTGCTTTGGTAGTAACAGCCACAACTGAGATATCAGCAACAACCGTATATTGAGAGAATGTCGATGTTCCCATGTAGTGCAGGATATCTTTGCCTCGTGCTTTAAAGCGAGTTGTTCCGTCGGGCATCACACCTTTACCCTGAGTGGCACGGATCTTCTGGCACAAGTTGGTCTTCCCCGACTTGCAGAACTTGCACTCACCACATTCCGGGGTACTGTTGATGATAAGTTGGCGTTTGTAGACAGGTGGGATGTGAAAAATAACTGACTAAAGCGCGATTACTTGATCACCAGGCTTGACATTAGTCACGCCTTCACCAACTGACTCAACGATACCTGAACCCTCGTGGCCCAGGATGACAGGGAAAGCTCCCTCTGGGTCTTTTCCAGAGAGAGTATAGGCATCTGTATTATGGCACCAACAGTGTTAACCAATGTAATTCAAACCTCACGTTGAAAAAAAACAAGAATAAAAACTGGCTCAAATATAAACCAAATGGAACAACGCACCGGTGTGACAGACACCCGTGTGGAGAATCTGAATGCGAACCTCATGGGCTTTGGGAGGGGCAACCTGGACATCCTCAATGGAAAATGGTTCGCCGGCAGCCCATGCGATAGCAGCCTGATATTATCGGCCATCGTGTTAGAAAATAGGAAGCCACAATATCTAGAAGACATGCTACAGACGCCATTACCTTGCAAGTTATGGTCTATCATTTCACGTTAGCAAAATATCAAAGGAGCACATGGCACAGGAAAAGTCCATTTGTGGTGGTTGAGAATAGGGAAAGTGGGGTGCTCATCGTCCAGCACCGTATGTGTCAAGCTTCAAGTATGTATTGGGAATAGAAAAATGGGAACGGGTAACTCACTTTACCAGCAGTACTAGCCATAATGATTTTTGCTTTTGGGATGACTATTAATGCGAGGTAGGTGATGAAACTTTGATTTGGATGCAGATTTGACGGAGAGAGTAAACCTCCATTTGGGTTCGAAGTGATCGAACTTATATAGAATAGCTCCCTTGGCTGTCATGATAAAGTGTTGTGACGACAGAAATGACGTCTACAATTGGAGAAGTGTAACATTGAACTGAGTCATCCATGATAGACGATTTAGAGGAGTTAGTTTTCGCGGAAGAGGGGCCTGTGGGTCCTGTGGTCAATACCGACTCAGCTTTTCACCAAGACGAAACTTAGGTCAAGCCTAGAATCTATGCCTATCACTACATGACGATGTTGGTAAATCTATATTAGGTTCAGAATGGTGCTAGCTATTTTTGGCACTAGTATCGAGCCAATGATATGCCCCCATCAGTGCACAAGCCATGTGTGCGCCAAGTAATTTACCGTGTAACCTTATTTCATAATGGTAACTTTCGTATCAACGAACAGCTCCGTTATCAGAAGAGGAGAAAAAGGAAAAAAAGAAAAAAGCTCTAACTTAAAGCGATCCCCGACTTTACTGGTCCTGCTATTACTAGGGAGGATGGGGTAAACAAGCCCTACCCCGCTTATTATGCTTCTGTCGTGATGAAAGTGGAGATAAGAGGCTAACACAAATATGTAAGCCAGACTACACTGTCCCTTCCCCAAAGCCAACTCGAGAAAGAGCTTTAGACCAGTGGCAAGCTTGCTTGGCAAACTCAGTCAGATCAACACGTACCTTCATATTTTCTCAACAATCACTGTAGACCGCTAGTTGGTAATGAGGAGTCGTGACGTCAGGAATGTTATTCATAAACCGGCAAGGTATTTGTAGTCCATGCCCGCCAGTAATTGAACTCTTTCGGGTGAGTGTAACTTCCATTTTGAAAGCTCTTCCTGCACGGCTCGTCAATATAAGGACCAAAAACGATGTCAACTAAGGAAAAGGTCGTCATCATTGGCGGCGGGTGGGGTGGTTATCGATTGGGATATGGCATCGACCACAGAAAATACGATATTACCCTTATTGCGCCAGAGAACACGTCCGCGGTGACTCCCCTCCTCGCCAGCGCGGCTTGCGGATTGTTTGACCCCCGTCTAGCACATGAGCCCATCCGGCGGAAGGACTTTCATGCCAAATACATCAAGGCCTTCGTCGTCGACATTGACTTCAACAGGCAGGCACTCATATGTCAGCCCGCGTTCGAAGAGCTGAAGGATGAGCGCTTCGAAGTATCTTATGACCGAGTGATCCTCTCGCCTGGCTGTCGAAGCAATACTTTTGGCATCCCTGGGGTGGCGGAAAACGCTATTTTTGTCAAGAACGTGGCCAATGCAAACACTGTACGGAGTCGTCTGAACGAAGTCCTTGAGATGGCTTCATTGCCGGGAACATCTGAAGCGCGCCAGAGGCAACTACTCCATATCGTTATTGTTGGGGGTGGCCCCACTGGGATCGAGGTGGCAGCGGAATTGACAGACCTTTTTGAAGGAGATTTGGGCGTTTTATTCCCGCACCTGAGGGAAATGACATCAGTCACGGTGATAGATGTCGCACCCCAGATTCTGGCACCATTTGACCAGAAGTTATCAGAATATGCTTGCAGCGCACTGAAAACCAACAAGGTCAAGGTCAAGCTTAACTGCCACATTCTGAACGTTACAAAGGATACCATAGAGACCAGGGAATCCGGAGTCACCGGCTACGGGATGCTTATCTGGGCCACCGGAAACAGATCAATACCCTTGGTCGACCAACTGCAGCTCAGGAAGACTGAGAAAGGCCTTGTGCGGATCTTGACCGACGATCATCTCAATGTTTTCTCCCCAGATGGCAACGTGATACCTAACGTGTTTGCAATGGGCGATGCGGCCGACATTGAAGGCGGAACATTACCGACGACCGCCGAAGTTGCAATTCAAAAAGCTGATTATCTTATCAACCTTTTCAATTCTGGTGGAAAATATGCTCGGCCATTTCAATATAAGCAGCGGTCGCTGGTAACATACACGGGTGCGTGGGACGGTGTGGTTCAAGGGAAGCGCGAGTATACAGGTTACGGTGCATGGCTGAGTTGGAGATCTGGCAACTTCTTCTGGACGCGGTCGTGGAGGAGAAGGATCCTGATGTGCTATGCGTGGTTTATGGACTGGTTGGATGGGAGAGAGATAATTCGTAACTAGCTTTCATGGTCAAAAATCGGAGAGTTATAATGCGTAATTTGTATATCTATCACTGGTGTTTCTGGCTGTTATTTCCATTTAGGTGATTCGCTGAACCTTTCATGCATATTTCGGACTGCAATAAAATCATCTCTTTGATTTTCATGATAGAATTTCAAAATCGTTCCGATGTAGCCGTCACAGAACCAAGTATCATATACCTGACGCCTCGTGTACGGTTTTGTCATAATAGCTGTCACCATTCCGTTCCATTTATGGCCTGTTAGGTCAAGATTAATAAACACATGGCCTGGTTGAATCAAGCAACGTTTTGTCGAAAACAGGAGTTGAAGTAGTCTAAAGGCAAGAAACGTAGCATAAAACACCAATATCCCATTATCTCGACCCTGAGAAAATGTATATTACTTCCTAGTGGCATTGGACGCCCATGATATTAAGCTTGCAGGAGGGTCTGTGCTGTTTTAGTATCTGTGATGGTATAACTCGATATACATTCCTGCTTAGTAGCACAAAAATATTTATCTCAAGATACAGAAGTAGACGGCATTAAACATCATTTTATTTCGTAGGTGTCCTCTTCCCTTTATTGATGAGAATCATCACCATTAAATGTCTCAAAACGTAGAGCCTTGCCCTCTAAAGGTTGTATAGCTTTTAGAGGAGGGGGTGGGGCCCACTCAAAACACCGTCAAAGCGGGTGAAGCCGGATCTCTGGGGGCTGAAAACCTCGTCTGGATGAAAACCTTCTGCATACCATCTGCACGACGGTTGAATAAGTCATAGACCTTCTCCATATCGCTGAGATCAAAGCGATGAGTGACCATGTCCAACGGACAGATTTTCCTTTGTTGTATTAAGACAAGTAGTTCATTCCAGTACTTTTGTACGGGCGCTTGGCCATTTCCGTTCAGGTGAATGCCTGTCTCCATCAAGGATCCAATATTGAAGTGATTGCACTGGGCCAAGTGTTAGTGATTGACAATGTCAGAGGTTGATCACATACATAGCCAGTATATATACCAGTGACCCCACAACATCCGAAGCCTCTAACTGATTCAATCATCTCGTTCAAGAGTTCCGACGTGTCGTTCTCCATGCCTAATGTCCTCTGGATGGCGTGGCCTAACCCTTTTGCATACTCGCCAGCGGCACACTCAATTGCAATGTCCGGGCCGCGCCCGTCACACATTTTTTTCAGCAAGGATACAACTGTTTCTCCGCGCGGAAGTCTGGTGAAGTCAATAGTCTCCAAATGCGGAACCTTCGTCCTCATAAAATCCAGCCGCCATCTTCCCTCTCCACCGTCAATCATGATGATTCGGCTCGCCCCGTTCACAACTGCAAACTCAGCCGCCATCTGCCCAATAGGGCCTGCCCCCCAAATGGCAACCGTGTCTCCTTCTTTAACACCTGTATCAACCACAGCATTCCACGACGTGGCCAAGACGTCGGATAGATAGAGCCCTTGTTCATCAGGGACATCATCCGGTAACGGTAGCAGATTCACGTCCCCAAAGGGAACCCGCACAAACTCAGCCTGTCCTCCTGCAAAGCCTCCTGTGAAGTGTGAATATCCAAACATGCCTAATTTAATGGTTAGCGGTAGGCCGACAGTTTAGTAATTCCTCCGGGTGACGTGCCTGCAGTTCGGCGTCCATAAAGTGAATTTTCGCTATCACTGCCGTTGGTTCTTTCACACAACGAGGACAGTTTCTTTTCGCAGTAGTAGCACGTTCCACAAGCAATCTGGAAGGAAGCTACAGCTCGCTCGCCAATCTTGCGCTTCTTGACTTTGGGACCGATTTTCTCCACAATCCCGCAAAACTCATGCCCCAGAATATCTCCTTTGTGCATTTCAGGTATAGCCGCTGTGGAAGAGATCAGCACTGCAACTAAATTGGGTAGCAGATCACGTACAATGAAGGAGATGAAGATCGCTTCCACAGATAGTACTTCCTGTTACCCTCAGAATAACATCTTTATCATCAACGATAGTTGGCCTAGCCGTTTCCACTTTAATCAGATGAGAATTGTCAGTCTATTTTTAAGTACAGACTATACATGAGTTGTTCAATAATACACCTACCGAGCTTCACTTGATTCTTCCCTTGCCAAGTCAAGGCCTTCATTGTCTGACTGGGGTCCCCGTAGCCAGTATCACCATAGTTGCTGATGTCTGTCGTGAGAGCGGGCTTTGCGCTAGACATTTTTGCGGTGAATTTAGTTACCAAATGTGAAAGTAATGATAATGTTATTGGTTTGAGTATCATTCCATCATAACTGACAGATGGTAGATTATATAGATAAGTGCCACTCACATGGAGCTAGTACTAGCGGCATAAGACGTCACTGTGATGATTTGATCTTCGAAGATTTTCTTGTTATGCGCTATTTTACTTTGCTGTCCGATGTAGCTCGATATGACAGAATATCTACATCATGATTGCCAGACAAAGTATCAGACTTGCTTTTTTCTTCTTTTGGTAAGACTGTATCAGCCAATTGGAAGCTATTTATACATGTTTGTCCATGATAGTACTTCAACCTATTTGGGTACTGTATGATTCATCACTTTCTCTGTGTATTAAAGAATAGCTATATAATCAATAATTATATCTTTGTCGTAATTGTCTGCTATTTTGTGATGCCCCAGTATCCAAGCCTGAGTTCAGAGCTTGTGAAGTTATACTTATAAGAAAAGCCACAACTCTCTAATATATGAACCCCTTATATCCTATCCACTTGGTCTGATGACTAGAATATCAATATGGCACACCGGCCTGTTGCCTTCAATCGCATAATCACTACCCACGATCACCGAACCGGAAAGGCTGTCTTTCAGAAGGATATCGATGAGAGTGTTCCTTTTGCAGGGTTTCCGGTTCCACCGGGAAGGCCGACTACATCTGACTATGCACTTGCCTATGCAACCACAAGATTTCCAGTGAAGGGGCTTTCCCCACCCGCGCTAGTCACACCTGAGGCAGATGCAAACCTGGACATCAAACAATATATGTCTAAACTCCGCGATCCCTCCCCTTTAAACCCAGATAAGGGAACGGCCTGCACAGTAATTGAGGTGCCGCCTAAAGTTGACATCCCGATGCACCGGACTGAGAGTCTTGATTACGGTGTTGTCATTGATGGAACTACGGAACTAGTCCTTGACTCGGGTGAGACGAGAGTTTTAAGAAAAGGTGATGTTTTCATCCAGCGAGGCACTGCGCATTCATGGCGGAATATTACTCACTCAGAGGACAACAACGGTGTTCTCCGTGTGTTCTTTGTTTTTCAACCAATTGAGCCTGTGCGGATCGGGGAGGAAGAGTTGCACCAAGATTTGGAGCTATCCTTGAAACCCAAGCATTAGTCAGCTAGAATAGCATTTTGACCAGCCAGCTTCGGCCGGAAATATGAATTTTTAACAAGTGAGTGATGGCATGAGAAACAATACCTGTTGCCCGGCGGAAGAAAACTACAGACTATGGTACAGTCGTAAAAGCTAGCTGTTGTGGAGCCAGCTGGAAGAGGCAACGTTACATGTCCAATCACAGTTTTATTACAGTGTTGGACCGTGAGGTCTCATTTAAGTTCTAGGTTTGACTTACCATAACCCCGGCTGGGCTGAGTAGAGCAATTATTTTCTACCTAGTAGGGGCAAATGATGTTTCCCCGCAGCGGTTCTGCTAAAGATCTATTGGTTGATCATAACTATCGAAAACGCCACTTCAGCAGAAAGAATCAGACTCTTCCTTACTTATACCGCCTTAACAAGAAACTTCCGCCCCCCATTGGGACCAACCAAGGAGTGTCGCAGCCCACAAAATAGAATGTCATGATGTGTATATCGTAAAGAAACCGCTGGCAGAACTAATGTGACGTTTATAGTTATTGTTGGGTGCTTAGATAATCCAAAGCATGATCTTGAGTTGGTAAAGGTAGGCGATGTCCGAAAATAATTCATTGGTCGAGCGTATGATAAATACTACACTTGTGGTTGAAGAAGGTGGATAAGGGAATGTGGGAGTGCCAAGTTGTTGAGGGGAAGTATTTTTGCACATTGACGTACCGTTTTAAGACAGCCATCCCTTGGTGGAGATAGACCAGAGATCCACATTGATGCCTTGGTTCAAATCCCGGTAATGTAAAGCTCGCTCGGATCTTGATCTAAATGGAGCCCTGCGGCTATCACATCATACGCTTTTGCCAGTCCAGCTAAAGACTATCCAATAACAGAATATGGATCATTGACGATCTGGCCGCTAATCAATCGTCTCTGACGTGGATCAAGGGTCTCGACTGTGTTGGAAATATCTCGCGCTGATTTAGGAAAGAGTAATTCACCAATGGCCGCTTACAATGACTGTTGATGAATGATGAAACCACAAAAGTATACTAAATGATGGCCAAGCGGTCTAGGGCTTCCTTGATGGAGCAACTTTCTGAGATATCTCTATCTCTCAGAAAAGAACGTTAGTTTGTCTGTAGGACCATGTTAGATATGTATCGACCCAGAGTCAGAGGCAACCATAGGTGATGTTAGCATGGCAGCTTCATTCATATCGTTGGGGGATTGTGGGTCACATTTTGACCGTAGTAGTGGGACAGTCATACCCGGCAGATAGCGTAGATCCCGTTTCCCAGCGCAATTAATTTATCTGGTCTTAAAAGTATACACCCTCCCCCTTCCCCAGCCAAACAATTACTTCGTTCAACACACTGATACGCACTCTTATGTCCCTACACTGCAAGGTATTAGGAATACGCGCAGTAGAAAATGGTCGTTACTACAAAGGCAGTAATCGCATCCTTTGGCGGCAAGCTTCTGAAGCTAAGTCACTTGTCCACTTCAACCAGATGTGAGATGGCTTTCAACCTCTATCTTCCACCTCAGGCTTTCGAGGATTCGCACAGGAGAATACCCCTCCTGATCTATCTATCTGGCCTGACGTGTACCGCCGATAACTGCTCTGAGAAAGGGTTTTTCCAGCACGGGGCCAGCAAGAATGGAATAGCTGTACTATATCCCGATACCAGTCCGCGTACGATTCCTCTATCCTTCAAGCGCTCCCATCTTTCGACGCACTTCTTAATACTCGAGCCGTCATTTGAAATTGAACCTCATGTTTATAGTAATCAAACAACTGACACTTTATAGGGGGTCTCAACATTCCAGGAGAGAATGATAGCTGGGACTTCGGGACAGGTGCAGGGTTCTACGTAGACGCTACCCAAAAGCCTTACAATAAAGCGTACAATATGTACACTTACGTGAAAGAGGAGCTACCTAATGTAGTTTTCCAACAATTTCCCCAGCTTGATCCCGAGAGGGTCAGCATTACGGGTCACAGTATGGGCGGCCACGGAGCCTTAGTGTTGGTATGTCTCGAATTTGTTTACTTCAAGATATTGATATAGCAGGCACACTTCTTCATTCCTTGTCATATATAATTCTGGGAAATTTGCTCTAATAGTAGAAAGTTCCTTCGCAATCCCGGAAAATACCGATCAGTCTCCGCCTTCGCGCCGATTTGTAACCCAATCAACTGCCCTTGGGGTCAAAAGGCATTTTCAGGTTATCTCGGAGAGAATTACCAGGACTTATGGAAAGAATATGATTCTACTGAATTGGTGAAAGGATGGAAAGGTCCCTTGAATATGCTTATCGACGTGGTTGGTTTCCCTCTCTTCCTTATCTCTTGTGTTCTTCATGCATAGGCTTATGTCTGTTAAGGGTACTGGAGACAATTTCTACAAGCAAGGCCAACTTCTTCCTGAAAACTTCGAGCAAGCAGTCCTTGAAGCAGGAGCTAAGGGTCTACGTATACGCTATCAACCAGACTACGACCATAGCTACTACACAATGGCGTCATTCTCGGATGACCATATTGCGCATGCGGCGCAATATCTTTTCTAGTATGCAACCGAGTGTGATCCTTGGTTTTAATCTGCTTTACCTAGTGACCTCCCTTGTCCTGTCATCTATTTTCTTGCTTTCTCTTGTTTCATTTTCTCTAAAGTTACATTGGACGTTAAGCCATTTGGCTTTTCAACAATGGTTGTATTCTTTAACTAACAGTAAGTCCGTCCTAGTACATTTCCAACCTTAGAAATATTCAAGTGAATTATTTCCTAAAATACTCAGTTGGCCGACTAAGTCACTCATCGAGATAAGTGATGAAAGGCTACGCAGCATACACTAAATGATTTTTGTACTACCTCCAAGACGTACATCTCAATGCCAAGACGCCTAAATACTGGTTAGTAGTCCTATCTAAACAAAATACAAAGTGTGTACTTCGAGTGCTATACAAAACAGATCAGAGAATCATTATTAGCGTGGAGGTAATATACGCAGCATCCTAGTAGCCAAGGCCAGGGATAAAGCGAATATATATCCAACTACGGTTCTAAAGATCAATCAACAGCAGAACATGGTTTAAAAGTAAGCAAAATGGCGATTAGTTTACAGATACAACAATTCTCATGCTACAATTCGTTGACTCTCATACTAAATTGGGCAATATATGATTTTATCATTTAGCATATATAAGTTTTCTAATGCAGGTTTATTCAAAGGCACAACACTATGCTATATGCCTACGATATGCTAAGATTGAGAGATATTAATTCTTAGGCACATCTGCCGGGATATACTTATAACAGGCCCAACATTCAGGGCAGGGGGAGATCCCCGCATGGATACCGAGCACACTTTAGCCACCCATAAATACGGAAACAATATTGTTTACGGGATAACTACGTTGATAGTTTGGGGAGTCTTTCTGAAATTCCATTTGAGTGTTAAATTGGAGACTAGGAACCATACAAACAAACCTCGTGTTGAAGGTGATACAGGTTACAGCAGTCACGTCAAGGCAAAAACTGAAGGTTCTGTATTCTGGCTCTGCATCCGAATAAACACGGCACAGGGTTAGAACATGAATTTGTGTGTATTCCCACGTTTTCAGTTATGTGAGCACCCTAGCTAGCTCTACTGAGGCACATCCAACACATAGCGACCAGCGATTTTGCCTTTTTCTACTATGTGTTAGCACAATCAACTTTCCATTTTTCCCCGAAGCCGAACCCATAACAAAATGTAATATGACGCATAAAAAGAGAAAGAAGATGGAGGGGCAGAGACACATACCCATCAATTCAAAGATCTTTGGCAAATCTTTCAGCGAAGCTGTCTTGAATGGAGCATGGATCAGACCGCGGGCGAAGAAATCAATAGCCTCGACCCCATCCTGACGATTTCCAACATAGCTGCCACGAATATTGACCATGCGAACAACTGTGTCGAAGACGGGCGCCTTGAGAAACGCTCCAGCGGGCAGTCCTATAGCCACGATGGTGCCATACGAGCGCACATATCCCACCGCTTGCTGGAAGGGACCTTCAGCAACGGCGAGCAGGATGACAGCATGGGCGCCGAGGCCTTCTGGAGAGGCAGCCTTGACATCAGCGACCACGTCGCTGGATTTGGTGAAATCAACGTAGGCCTGTGATTGTTTTGATCATTTCATTAGCCTTTTTGACCTCGTTTGTAAACCACGAGTAAAAAGCAAGACAAAATACCTCCGACCCTAACTTCTCACACATCGCCTTCTTCTCATCCCCACCGTCGATCGCAATTACCCGAATTCCCATAGCCTTCGCATATTGCTGAGCCAATGACCCCAACCCACCGCCGGCACCGACAATAGCGACTGTTTGTCCTGGCCTAGCACCGGACTCCTTCAACCCCTTATACACCGTCAAGCCAGCACACAGAATGGGAGCCACAGCATCCAAGGCAACATTTGGAGGGATTTTGGACGCCAAAGCCGCCTTCCCAATTGCATACTGTTGAAACGTGCCGTCAACCGTGTATCCACTCAGCTGAGCATTCGGACACAACGGAAACTCTGCCTGCCGACAGAATTCGCACGTCATACACGAGCCATTCAACCATTTGATGCCGGCTTGGTCACCAATCGCGAACTCCTCATCTGTCACCAAATTACCCTTCGCCACCACCGTCCCCGCCCCCTCGTGTCCGCCTACCAACGGCAACTTCAGTGGTAGTGGCCAGTCACCCTTCATCGCATGCAGATCCGTATGACATACACCTGTGTACCGGATCTTGACAAGGATCTCATCTGGTCCTGGCGTGGGGACAGGAATTTCTTTATAAATGGGGGGACCGCCTTTCTTTTCGACTACTTGGGCCCATTGCTTGGTTGGGAGTGTCATTTTTGAGGGTGGTATGGAGACGATAGGTCAAAAAAGGGGGTGAACAGGAGTTTAACGTGCAAATATTGGACGTAGACAATTAAGGGACTGGAGATGACAAAGGCTCAATCGGTAGGTAGTGTAAATTATGTAGGTCAGAAGTAAAGATCCTGTAGATCCTTATAAGGCTCATTCATACACCGGTTGCCAGGGTTTTCGGATGTTGTCGGATCATATCAGTTTATCTGAGGGAATGTGAGAACGGTTTGAGTGTGTAACGTCATCTGGCTGAAAAGGATTCATCATGACGCTGACTAGGCTAGTATGATGCGTACACTTGATTAGTACTCTATGACGCCGACTGCATACACTCCCTTGGCATGCTTCGTGGATCTTTGTGGACTGTGGATGATCAGAAGCATGATTTGAGCAACCAGCACGAGGGACAGTTACTTACTGCTGCTCTATCAGTAAGGTATTAGGTGGCAAAACCAACGTAGCCCTAGTACTATAACTATAAGTGCTACCGTTGTGCATTCATGGTGTTACTCTACGGTGAGTGCTACTCTAGTCATATGTAGCTTAATTCAGACGTTGAAAGAGCCAATAGTGTAGTGAGGTCGTTCCAGTCCAACCCGCAAAGACTAACCCCCATTACATTCATGGAAAAAGTGTAACTTTCTGTCTCATTATCTATGGACTACTAGATACATTTTTCAAGATGCCGCAAAACTGAAGCCTGCCTTCTGTGCGTTGAAGGTTGCGATAAGGTCCATAAGCGGCGGTGACAAAACATCGTACGTATCCAAACCAACTGCTTTGAACCTTGCCCGTACATCATCTATACCCTTGGGGTTGAACCCCTGCTCAATAATAGATGACACAAAGCCGGCAAACTGCGGCTCTTGCCATCCTTCCTCGTTTGAGAGCTCAATATGCACAAAATCCAGCCCCTTGAACGGATGCTCCTTTTCAATCCGGCCGTAAAGATGCACACCGCAATCCTTACAGGCATGGCGTTGTATCGCAGCTGATTCGTCGACGATAATGAGCTTGGATTCGTTGGCGGTGACTGAGAGATTTTCGCGTGGCACAACGCCAACGATGGAGAAGAGTGCACCGGATGGTTTCCAGCACTTGGAGCAGCCGCAGGCGTGGTTGTGGGCGACATTGCTCTTCAGGGAGATTTCCACTTTGTTCGAAGAGCAACGACAGTAAAGTGCTCCACCGCCAAAGTTCTGGCGTCCTTCGACGATTCCATTGTCGATGAGTGGGTGGAGAGACATGGTCGTGGCCATTGTGGTAAAGCTAGTGGTTGAAACGAGAATTGCACTGCCCTGGCTTGGTGTGTTAGAATATATTTTCGAACCAGATATCTCGTTGCTCTTATATGCCTGCCAGGTAGCAAAATGTGGCGTGTCTATTCTCCGCATGAGGGGTTGTGGACTGCCACAAGAAGACATGGTTCCGTCATAGACCGCGTGTAACTCTTCACAGAAGGGTTTGTTTTTTTTTTTTTTTTTTTTGGTGATAGACTTATGGCTTCATCACCCCCCATCACTCATCAACCCCTCATCATCCCCTTGTCCCCATATTACATTGCCTGGACTTGAAACGTAAAGGCGCTCGAGGAGGTAACTGGTAGATTGGCCCCCATAATTTTAGATACTAGCAACGAGCCAAGCGCTGGCGGGGATAAGTTACTGTCGTGACTCATTTGATGGCAATGTATCTTGTAGAAGGGTTGAAAGAGAGCTATGACTCAAAAAGTTCTTCCCCGACTCCCAAATTGAGCAACTTGTCTTTCTACAGTGGATTTGAGCTAAACCATATTCTAGCTTCCGTGAATTCCACCCTGCCATCAGCTGCACGGAATTGGAATGTTTATGGTACTTCCGTTATGCTTGTGCGCCAGAATTCCTTAAATGATTATTGGCCAGATAGTACTACCATTTTTGTAAAAGACTATTAACCCCACCAGACTCGCAATGTTCCCCACTCAAGAATTAATGGTGGGTTACAACGTACGTATCAAGTGCTATCACCCACTTGTTCGATAGGCATCGAAGCTGAACCTGTCTAATTATGCTCGCTTACCCATTTGTATTTTACGATACATACACGGGAGAAGTATGTTCCGAAGTAATTTGCCAAACGGTATGAGTGCTATTTCACTGTTGGGATACTTGGAAACAATCAAGTAGTATAAGTGGTGACGCCGGTACCTGGAAACCCTGTAACTAATGGAAGACTCCTCAGAGGTAATGATGTTTTATATTGATGCTTTAATTGGGACGGCGTTATCTATGGACGCTCTATGGCATCTCAAATGTGTTGCGATCACACGCTCTACGACCACTCTTCCAAGATACAGTAATCTGCTTTCTAGAAGGTTTCGTTCCAAAATTGAATTATAGATGACTACCAGCGAGCCCAATATTCCAAATTTTAGGCATCCCGTGTATATGAATGATATACATTAAGCGTTTTCTACGCACGGGGGCTCCCTATCTTTCCAATTTATTGGGCAAAATCCCCTGACTTGTATTCTTGCATGTACGGTAACACTCCTGTAAACCCTCCTACAAGTGGCTTTCACACCTGTATTAATTTTAACTTCCCTAAGAACAGAAGGTTCTCAGGACAAAGAAAGTGGAGGCAATAGCGGCTTGCAACTCGTCCCGCATCCTGGCCATCGCGATACCAATATGCGTACCCTTCCCTCGCTTCCATGCGCGTTCCAACGCCTGGAATACCTTAGTATTATTCGAAACCCATAAGTATGATGATCCGAAACCCATAAGTATGATGATCCGAAACCCTGTCTATCGAGTACGGGAATGCCGAGGTTCTATTCTTGTAAACTTCTCAGAGCTGTCCCGACTATCATCGTTTGAACTGTTCTCTAATGAATGTGAGGGGCTGGCCTTTTGGGGGTGAGCTCCAGTCGTTAGTTATGGTCACTATATGATCGGACATCATCGACTTGGGCTGTTTCTTATAGATAAGGTTCAGATATTGAGGAAGTTTACATACGTTGCGGTGATTAATGGCGGAAACCAGCTCAGAATCCAGCTAGCACATCTTACGAGTTTGACGGTAGTCGACTCAATAACTTTTATTCCTTATCTATTTCCGGTCAAGTATTCTTTGCTGGAAGAAGTGTTCATTGAGTCTTACGAGCAAAACGAATGTTATGAGCAATTACTGGGACTTCTTCACCTTGAATAGGGGACCGCAAAGCTGGCAAACAATAATGATTCTCTTTAACTTTTTCCGGCTGAGCTACACAAATGATCGAAGACCTTGAATGGTTCATAGGTTTCAAATGCATCATGAAATTGTGGGAGATAGGAATGCGGCAGCGCCCTGACATGGTAACGTAGTTATTGTGTCTACCATAGATTACCGCTTGTGAGTGCATCGATCTGACTCTGAACTGAGTTATCTTTATCGCAACTGTACTCGATTCTAAGTCAGTTTGTTAACTACACATGAAGTTAGAGCGCTTGTACATAACCAAATGAAGTGTTAAGATTATTCTATCAATTATGTATCGACTTTTGTCATAATAGAGTTATACATCAGACTTCACATATAAAATGATATTTTTAAATTAGAACACCTGTTTGAAGAAAATATATATGGTCAATTTTCCACATGGGTTGCGCCATATGTACTTATCCACAGTTTGTGTCCACCAACAGATGCTCTTATTCACGGACTGATGTACATAAAACGCATCGTTTGACCTTCCACCCCGGAAAAAACCAGAAACAAGTTATTTTGTCGGATGTGAAATTCATCAACTACCCGATCTACGTCTGTTCGCAGATGCAAACTTGACGAGTGGACGCAGTCTTGTCCTGACATGGTTGTGTATCAATGCAGATGCGATCAGTAATATACTAGCAATAACAGATGGTCCAAGAGCATTTCGCAATACAAATAGCCATATGAGAAAGAGATCCATAGTATATATACCAACAAAGATGTGGTTTAGTGCCTCCCAGTACAATATACCTGCGGTATCTATTTCTGTTTCAAGAACATAGGAAAACTCCAAACATCACAGACCCAAGAAGTAATATTAGTGGAGATATGGCAGAGAAGATGATACCTATGTGATAAAATATTAGATCGGTGTGACTCTGTAGATGTTGGAATATATATATATATAAATAAGATTCGTAAAAGCTGGGTAAAGCAGGCTCCACTGGACTGTTTGCGGTATGTATTCGTTCCGACGTCGTTTTATATATGTCTATAGGCTGCCAGGTAACTGGAATAACACCATGACACTTTGTGTGATGGCTTGTAATAGGAAGTAAGAGTAAAAATAGTTACTTGCCTTTGGCAAATTTTTGGCCAACACCGACGGTACTGATTGGATATCGTTGGCAATCTCGGGGATTATCGTGGTCACGCTCGAAGATATCGATACTACTAGAAACAGCTGAGTAAAAAGGAAAATAAAGTAATGTCTCTGAAACAAGATTTCGACAGACAGATGCTCAAAGACAAAATAATATTTTGTCATAAATCGAAGGATTACGGGAAAGCTGTACATGAGAATTGACGCTGCCATCTGAGGAGCTAATCCTTGAATTGTATCTAACTGGTAGTTAGAGAGGCCGCTCAGACTGGAGCTGATATAGCCAAGATATACTAATTGCGACAATAACCCTGTTAGAGATATAGGAACTATCCAAAGTATAGCTAATATATTCAGGGTTATCGCCATAGCAAGATTTCACAGAGTTCTTGAATATCTATTGTGGTAAATGACCGACTCTGAAGTTATGGTATTGCCGTCGACTATATAGGATTACAGTTCTATGGGCGAGGAAGATGCTCTAGCTTGCAATAGAAGGTGGGCTGTAAAGAGATTGGAAAAGTAAAATATTGCAATGCTCGATTTGTTCTATGTCTCTTCGTAAATTCCGGATTTGCTATCTAAGAATGTCTTCTCTTCTGATATACCTGAAAAGTCTTCGAATATCGAAGGGGAAATGTATTGTACTAAATATATCTGGATGTATTTGTTTCAAATTGTTAAGGTCTCGGTAGAGGTTTGCCAGTTTATTTTCTATACTTTGGTATGTTTCTGCTTTCGGAAGGATTATATCCACAGGTCTCCCGTTATAGGCCGAATACACAAGTCGCAGGTTCTCTGTGTTCTATATCTGTGGCAGTATTTCGGTAACCAGGATAGTGGTTACTGCTCGATCTTGAGAAGAACTATGAAAAAATTGCTGTCTTATTTTCACGACTCTCTTAAATTCGAGGAGCAGAAGGTGCCACAGATAGATGTTCTCTCTCGCCTGGTGGACAAATTGCTGGCTAGGGGCACACCAACATGTGGTCATATGTCCGCGAGGCTGACTTGACCATGCCTTGTATGGCAGATCAGCTGAGGATGCGGGTAACAATTGGTCCTCACAATGGCTACATTGCGTACCCCGATTCTGAGTAGTCACCTCTTCGCAGCCTAGAACAAGTACTCTGCCAATCAAAGCTAGATTTGCCATACTATTTTGAGACTGTCTCACCCTCTCTGCTGCCTATCAATACAAGCCTGAATAAAT